AAGAATAGAATTAGAATAGAGAGTGCTAGAGTTAGAGTGTCAAATAAAGATGGAAGAAATGTGTTTTTAGCTGATTCTTGAAGATGGCTAAGGACTGAGACTGCTCGGACTGAATTGGGCAGGTCATTCCACCAGGAAGGAACATTTAATTTAAAAGTCAGAGAAAGTGATTTTGTGCCTCTTTGGGATGGCACAATAAAGCGACGTTTACTTGCAGAGCGCAAGCTTAGAGGGCACATAAGTCTGAAGTAATGAATTTAGGTAAAGGGGTGCAGAGCCAGTGGTAGTTTTGTAGGCAAACATTAATGCCTTGAATTTTTTACAAGCAGCTATTTGTAGCCAGTGCAAATTGATAAACAGAGGTGTGACGTGCATTCTTTTCGGCTCAATAAAAATTAATCTTGCTGCTGCGTTCTGGATTAATGTAAAGGTTTGATAGAACTGACTGGAAGACCTGCCAAGAGAGCATTGCAATAGTCCAGCCTGGACAGAACAAGAGCTTGAACAATGAGTTGAAGCATGTTCCGAAAGAAAGGGCCTGATCTTCTTGATGTTGAATAAAGCAAATCTGCAGGACTGGGCAGTTTTAGCAATGTGGTCTGAGAAAGTCAGTTGATCATCAATTATAACTCCAAGGTTTCTGGCTGTTTTTGAAGGAGTTATGGTTGATGTGCCTAACTGGATGGTGAAATTGTGATGAAACGATGGGTTTGATGGAACCACAAGCAGTTCTGACTTGGCAAGGTTGAGTTGAAGGTGATTGTTTTAAAGCAAAAATAACTATATTGTGATATATATTGTTACCATGAAATAAAATTACTCATATCGTGATATAAGATTTTGGTCATTTCGCCCACCCCTATTTCGGACCAGTATATACACAGTGGGACTGTATATATCTAATCATTTTTAATGGGGCATCTTAGTGCCCAGAAAGAAAGACGCCTGTGTGTTTGACTGAAATAGAGACATGACCGTCTAATGGATAGACAATCATATTAATGTCTACAGAAGAGTGCAGCGTCTATGCAGAGTAACTAGAAAAGGTAATCGGTTACTCCAGCAAGAAAAAAACCCCAATAATATAAAATTATATATTATTATATATATTACTAAGTAATATATATATAAGTAATATATATATTACTTTTAAAATTATATAATTATTAAATTAATTGTATAATTTATTTTAATAAAAAAAACTACAAAAAAATAGAATTATTATTTTTTTTTATATATATAAATAGATTTTTTTATTTTATTTTATTTTTACCCAATGAAATCACATGCAAAAAAGAAAAAAGAAGAAAAAAGAAAAAAAGTCTCCCCCTCTCCCTCTCTCTGCGCCTTTTGTCTCACCTCATAGTGTGAATGCACTCTGGCTCTTTAGTGAAGGCATATGCATAGCCACTGGAGGTGGTGCCAAAGTCGATGGCCACCACCACCACATAGGGGTGTCTCGTAGGCTCATTTTCTTCAGAGTCCTTCTGTAGAAAGAAAAGAGGGAAAAGAAGCAGAGGGAAAATGAGGGATATGGAAAAAGGAAGAGAGATGCTGTCACGTATATGTCAAGCATTAAATTGTTGCATGAAATTGCAGCTCAGTGTAAATAAGATGTCATGTAATGGGTGACGTCATGCTGGCAATAAAAAGCAGAGCTCACCAGTATGTGTGTGGGGGAAAGTGGCGTGATGCCTGGGTCGCCCATACTCTTGGCTGGAGATGGAGTGGCCATTGCATCTGCAAAGTGAAAGAAAGAAAGAAAGAAAGAAAGAAAGAACAGTGAGAAACCAAACATTCAAACTACAAAGACAAGCCTACAGACATGTTAATAATTTTGCTTATAGAGCTTGTGGTAATACTAATCAATTTAAACGTTTTAAGAACTTTTTTGTTTGCCTTTATACAAGCAATTTTCTTTTCACTGTTGGGTTGTCCGTTGAGAAACACTGGATTATGTTGTGGCTGTATTAAGGTGCCATTCCCAAAATTTCAGCAACATTTTGGCAATTTATTGTCAGTAGTACAGCAATGTATGAAGTACAGCTCAGAAAGAAGAATCAAACCAAGCAGCATTCTTTTGCTGAAGCCACATTACGAACTTGAACACGTTGCTAAATCTTTTGCGAAATTCCTGTGAGGATTCCTATTGAAATGACTGGATTCCCTTGAAATTCACTGAACCACAGTAAATGTGGCTGAACATTAGTCTATCAGCATATAGTCTGATGTTTCACACAATTATAATAACAGGTTCTTGATGTGTATGTTTTTTTTCTGGACGCATGCATGTTTCTCGGTTTTATGTTGGGTCACTTGTAACTTGTTTTTTTTTTTTGCCCTAAAGAAACTATAGTTACCATACTTTTTTGTAAATGAACACCTCACCAATGCCTAACTTCAGAAACACACTCAAAATCCATTTAAATGGCATCGAAAGCACTCTAGGGCTCAGTTTCATGGGCACAGAGGGAGAACAGGCCTAAGTGGCACCATCAATGGTGATTCTTCACTAGAAATAATTTTCAGTGGGAACGAGACTTAAAAGCCTCAATTAATGTTCAACGAATTTGTCTGAAAGACCATTCATTTGGCCATACTTTTTTTTTTTATATAACATCGCTTCTGTCTAACATTTTACATTATTTGGTCATAAAATCATCAAAACCTTTAAGAGCTTTAGACCACTACAGCAACAGCTGCTCCCCTCCACACTGACATTTGAATCGAATTAGAGGTTGTATTTGTCCATTCCCGTCGTCCTCATTAGCTGGTCCTAATAGCTTTACTAAAACACTCAGATGCTGAGCACCCTGAATGCTAAACGAGCGTCCGGGTTCCTCGCTCCGCGGGACGCCACGTTTTTCTGAGCGTTCATCCTTTTTTACCCGCCTTTACCCCATACTGAGCGGCGAAGTGAACAGAATGAGCGTGGTGCTCTTCAGCGAGTAATTATGGGTTGAGTGACTGGCTACCTGCGGCTCGCACTTCATTTCAACCACTCACCGCATGCACGTGCTCCAGCTACCGAGATTGATTTTAAAATGGGACAATGGAACATCAAAATCAATATCGAAGGAGTAAAATGATTGTCTATAATGATAAATGCTTATAAGTGAAGTGTTATTCAGAAACACACACTTGACCGTCTTTTTATACTTTTCTGCGAATGGATTTGCGGGTTAAAGGAACTTAAGTTTGTTTACATGGCAACATGGCTCACTGTACAGGGACTTCATTATAACACATTAAAGTTGCACGAGGGTAATTACTCGACATCAATGGCGACCGTTTCCCTGGTGGCTGATTGAGAGCTGCTTGATTAGGGATGTGAATGTGTTTTTTGTGTGTGTGTGTGTGTGTATTACATAGCTTTTCAATGAGGCTCTTTAAGTCACAACAGAGAATCCAAACATGTGCTGGAACTGGAAAGCAGAAAATGGGCATAAATGGTGGAAAATTACTTGCATTATGGCCAAAGTGCCAAACGGACCAATTCCTTTGATTTTCCTGCTGTTTTAAAGTCTTATTTACACAGAAGCATGAAAGCGAATTTATCTGCAGTGAATAGGTGTGCCACAAATTATTGTCAACAAGAGAAAAAAAAGCATCAATATAATATAATATATATATATATATAACTATATATATAACAATTCTTTTACTCAGAATTGGCTGACATAATGAGCTGTTTTAACATAATATCTACAAAATAAGTAAAATGAAATATAGTAAAAAAGAAAAAAGAAAAATGTTTTCACAGATACATTATTATTATTGGGTAAAATTTGTAATGATTTGCTTGGCAGGTTTTTTGCAAAAGTTCAAATCCAGCTCACATCTGAAGTTTTTGAAAACACTGAACACAAAAGGACTCTTTCAATAAGGCGATCGTACATGCTAGTACCATTACATATGTGTCGATTCAAGCAGCAAAAATAAACAGAAATCAGAGAGAAGATGGAGAGATGTCGTGAAAAAAGTAGGGTATCCTGTTTTCACCCCTCCTCTCATCCACATGAGAAAGGGAGTGAATGAACGGGTGGCCAAGCTCCGTTCTGGAATGTTATACAAAATTCTGACAGGAAGCAGGAAGAGTCAGAGGTCATACCTCCTCTGTGGAATTACAAATTCAGAGGAATTCCAAGCAGCTCAGTACACAGAAATAATAGAGCTAAGAGACATATTGACCACTGACATGCACAGACAAAAGTGGATTTAGGTCTGGAATCTATTATCTGTAAAATAAAGTAAAGAGAGAGAATCAGAGATCTGAGATATTTTTAAATACAATCAATGTCAGCCATATATATCACCATCCTATTTTTTTATTTTATTTCATTATTATTTTTTTTATTGATAATTGCATAGCCAAAAAAGTTGTCATTGGAATTTTTTTCTGCCATTTTCAAAAAGCATTCACTCCTCACTGAGGAACTTTTACTTCCTTTGAGGTCACATGCCTCAATTCCCCAGACAAAAGAGAATAAAAAGGAAAGAAAAACAAATATTAATATAGAATGACAATATGTCTGATAACGCAGGACAAAAAAAAGAAAGAAAGAAAGAAAGAAAGAAAGAAATTATTTTCTTACTCAAAGCAAAAGTCAGGACCGAAGTAGGGCAAATTTGGCAACATTTGGAGAAAAGAAAAAACAGATTAACTGATTTAGATGCAAAATTAATTGCAATATTATAAAGTCCAAACTCATTAATTCCTAATTACAACCTCATTAAACTCCACGTCACCTTAAGAAAAACTTTTCAGTGGCTATATGTTGAGTTTACATTCATATTAATCAAATCTTCAACAGATCATTACGGGAGCAAACAGGGTATTTGAAGCTATTTTTCTCTTTAGAAGTTCAAACGACAAGTGTCTTCAATCCGGTTAATGATTTTATTCCATGACACACAGAGAAAGGACAAGACAATCCCATCTGTAAAATATTACAAATCTGGATAACGCATACAGTTTTGTTCCATTTTGAATTATTAGATTATTAGATATTAAATCAAATCTCACCATGCCTGAGACAAATGGCCGCTTACTCTGTAACTTTTGGTTTGAATGTTTTCCAAAAATAATAAACAAATGCAGAGATAGAGAAAAGATCATCTATCATGATGTCAAGTTGAGAATTCCATGGTAAGTGAAACCAGAACAGGAAAAGGGAAAACATAAAATGTATGCATATCTCAAGCAGTAAAACAAGTGTTTTTGATCAATTTTATTAGATTGTATTACTCACTAGAACTTTCCAATGAATTCTGTGTGAACATTACAGTCTACGGCTGATTTTTTTTAGGCCAAAGCTAAACACACTGAGCTCAGTTATATACTCCAGCTAAACAAGCCGCACATAGCTATCGAGGTAAGCCGTCTCAAAGAGGGGCCATTGACAGGGCAGGACTGCTCCAGTTCACGTGTATGTGAAGGTCCATTCAGAGACACAGCACTATAAATGCCAAAAACACAGCCGGCCGTCCTCTCGCTCACGCTCACTGTCTCCAGCTGACCCTATTCACTCACAAACAAACACCCATACACAAATACACTAATAAACACACACATTCATACACAAACACACATCCCACACACAGTGGGTGAGAGAAGCCACACAACAGCTGCGACTGCTGCAACGTTATTAGTCTCTCTCTTGGTTAGGGTTGTAAAATTCAGCAGAGGAAAATAAGGGACACTCGCACTTTCTTCATAAGAAAATAACAAATTAAAAATGTAATACTAACGTTGAGTGCCACAATAACAGACCAATATTAAAATTCTGGCTGATACCAATAAATAGATAATAACTGCATGCTATGGCCATTAAACAGCTGATATTAAAATTCTGTAATATTTATTCAAAATAAATAAAAAATAAATAAAAATATGTTATTTTAAATGCTGCAAGTGAACCTAAACATCACAATGTTATAACATACAGACCGGAAAATGGATATTCATCTTGAGATTACATTAAACAGAGTTATTCGATTATCAGTAATATTAAAGATCAACTTTAAGTGAGCATTAAAAATGACACATTAAATGTAAAAATAGTAGAAATTAGCACAAACTAATTGAATATCCAATATATTGGCCAAGACACCATTACACACAAATCCATTTTACCTAGCTTTTACCTAGGAAAATTTGACTATTAGATGTTAAAATACAATACAAACTACATTCCATATGCATTTACTATAGAATACAATTCTGTTGGCTTAAATATGAGCTGATTCTGTTTGATATTGGACATAATGATCTGAGAGTTTTAGTCTCAGACAGGCTAAATAAATAATAAGAAAGAATGCATCTGTAGGAGTTCCTCTCATCTCATAATGCTGGAATGTGAAGTTTGGAGAAAAACTAGAGGGTTCGGAGAGTGCAGAAATCTCCCATTACATTACCAAAGACATAGAGCAGTCGAGTGTTTCGACATCTGCATCTACAACACCATCACACCCCTAAACCGCAAGCCATAAATCATAAATAGCATTACAAGTGCTTTTAAGACTGTTTGGTGGGGCATATGATGCATCATCTCACCCCAACAGTCTCCTCCCAAATCAATGCCAGTGCCCCACTACCTCAGAGACACATGGATACATAGGAATACTGAGAGAAGGAGCAGAAAGAGAGAAAGCATTGATTTTTGCAGCGCTGAATAGAGCTGTAACCAGCAGTCATCTACACAACAGAGCAGCTTTCTCTTTGCAACGTTATACCAATC